TTCGTCTTGCGAGGCACCACTGTATAGCTTAGCGCCCCACTGTCTTGGAGCCCCCCCAATTTGAAGGAAACAAAACTTGTACATTTCCAAAATACAAGATAAAAAAACAAATAAAACAAACATACATACACCAACACTGTTTTGTTTTGTGTAGGCTCCTATTTCGTAATGCGCAAAATGGCTTTAGATACTTATTTAGGTCCATAAATACCATAAAGCATATATTCAACACAAAAAAACAGCGACAATTTCTTGTTGAACATAGGACAGCAGGACATATAAAGGGCCCCATTACCTTCAGTAGCTTAGGGCCTCATCAAAGCTAAATTTGACCCTAGCGGTCCTGTCGTAACCCAGTTGCGAATGTTGGTTTAAATTTGTTACAAGCTGTTCCTAAATATAAGGGGAAACCTTTTTCCCCATGGCAGAACTCTTTCACACCAAAACTGCGGGAAAAATGTTGGGGTGGAAGGATTGGCTACCCCTGAGTTGAAGCTACGGTGGTCTTCAGTGATATATTTGCTTCCCTTGTGGGTTTGTTCTTTGTCTCAAGCAGCTGCAGACTTGAGCAGCAGTCCTGCCCTGCACAATGCTTTACTTTTATTCGCTCTGGCTGTTCATATATATATTATATATATATATATATATGCTTTCGTAGATTTTCACGGGTACAGGAATGCAGGTTTTGCATATATATATATATATATATATATATATATATATATATATATATTCCAATGTACATTTATAATATCCAATCTAATTTTATCACATATTTTCTCTTTTTGACTTCCTTCAACCTCTCTGACAATCATCCATTATTCAAATTTTTAAATACGCATTTCCTAATTTTATATTGCATTTTATAAACCTTCACACCCTTCGTTTTCATCAATACAATAGTCCTCTATCATTTACAGAACTTCTTGAAATCCCACTAGCGTTATTTGCTCATCACATACGCATTTCAGATAGTCTGAAAATTTTCCCCAGTCTTCAATGAACTTTTGATCTCGTATATATCTGATCTTTCCTGTTAGTTTGTCTAGTTCAGCATAGTCCATCAGTTTCATTCTCCATTCTTTGAGCGTCGGCAGTTGTTCCTGTTTCCATTTTTGGGCCAATAATATTCTCACTGCTGTTACTGCATATTGGAAAAGTTTACAATCCATTCTATCTATTTCATTTCCTACTATTCCTAGAAGAAAAGCCTCTGGTTTCTTAACAAACGTATATTTCAACATCTTTTTCATCTCATTATATATCATTTCCCAGAAGCCCTTCACCTTCTTACAGTCCCACCAT